ATAAAGCAGATGCTCTTCTGCATTGCCATCTTTTCCACTGGGATGGAGCAGCCCTTATACAGACACAGTGAACATGAACCAGTTGTTCCATGATCTGCCTCCACAACCATGGTGAAATGCCACTGCTGATAGCTGTGCTGATATTTATGATTCCTACTTAATATGTTTTAAATGACTTTATGAGCTCTAAGTATTAAGACTAACATCAGTAAGTATCCTGAGCCAGATTCTCTGGGAGGGAAGCCCTGCAGTGCCATAGACTGGTGCAGTTTTATCCCATCTGAAGATCTGGCTCAATAATTGTGCAGAACATAAAAGAGAAACACGTAAGTGCTGTAAACAAAGGAAAACTGTTACTCTGGGAGTGTGTTAGATATTTCAACACTCATAATTCACAACCCTTTCCTAAACCTTAGCACAAGCTACTTGCAGAATGGGCTTTTCCTTTTATTGCTGTTAGTTTCAGTGACTAAATTTATTAAGTCATTAGATTTGCATGTGGATGTGTATATTTGCTGTTCTCCTTTGGGTTATAATAAAAGGAAATATTGAGGGGAAACAGAAAAAGATATCTTCATTTATCTGGCAATTTTGAGAACATTTGCAGGGAGATGGCAAGCAATACAAACAAGTGGCCCAGTCCGGAGGGACACAGAGTGAGCAGCTGGGTTTGAATGCAACAGCTAGTGACAGTCTTCTGCTGGTTTCCTGGCTGTCCCTGAGCATTGCACATGGAAACCTGTCACCATTTCTGCCACAGGCTGGGGATATCAGGGGCTTCTGTGCCAGCCAGAGCTTGGACTAAACAAACAAGGAAGCAGATTTCTCACTTGTGATCAGGACCAAGAAGCACCATACTGTTGCTTATGGGGGACCCTTACTTTGTACCTCCCAGCTGAGGATGCTTAGGGTGCCAGTGGCAGTGATGCTTCCAGCCTGTATGGGCAGGGGCTGGCACTGCTCTCTTGCTCAGAGCAGTGCCAGTGCTCTCCACTGCCCTGGCAGTGCTATGACTGCACCAGGGACGTGACACCATTGGATCAGCATTTTCTGAAGGAGCTGGGATATCCAAGGGTGGCAGTGCATTCCCTGATTACCCTGCAGCCTCCTGTCCAAAGGTTTGACAGTGGTACTTCTCCACTGGTGTCTGTGGAGCTTTTCCAGCTTTACAGAAATGCAAAAGAGAGTCCAATCAAACTTAATATTTTCAAGGCCAAGAGGCTGGGTTAGATTTACCTGACAGGTAAAAGCTGAGGTAGATTAGGAAAAAAAAAAGTCTATCTTCTCACCAATCCCTCTCAAGCCGTGCTGCAGGGCAGGAGGGGCAGATGGGGCCAGACATTACCCGTACCTCCCTGAAGGACCAGACTGGCCCAAGTGATACAGAGATTGGCCTGTGCCTGGAAATCCTGTCCACATTTCCATCTACAGATGGCAGAAAACACTAATGGGAACAAGGATAAATGAAACATTTCCTTCTTTTCTAAAATTTTGAGGCAATCCATGGTACCTTACACCCTCCCTGAGCAGGTCTGACACACTGAATCCCCCCAAATGGCAGCTGCATGTATTTAGCTCCCTTTGATTCCAAGTGTCGTTTAATGTGGTCTCCCTTATTTTCTGTGTGAGAGCTACTGTTTTATTTTTCTAGACTGCAATTTCCAACAAAACTACGGTTAGCACAAACCAAACCTGTGTTTCTTTTTCAAAGCAAATTAATTACTCTTCTTACTAGAACTGCCTTTTGTTCAAGGGATTGGATTGAGATACAGAAACAAGTTGAAGGCAGATGTTAATTGTTTTGCATGTAAATTACTAACATTTCTTTTGCAAATATTTCATGTAGGTTTTTAGTTTAAGAATTAAAAAATAAAATTGCTTTTTCAAACTGATTTCAGTTAGTATCTGTAGACACTTGACACGATACCTTGGGCTCTAGATCTCCAAATAGTAAACAAATAAATGTATTTGTTTACTTTGTGTGCAAAAATGATTTAGCCAAACTCATGTATTTCACATGAAGATAAAACCAGACAAATTACCTTTTCTTTTTGGTTTGTTCTTTTTTCCCCCCTCCAGATCACAAGCGTACACTAATGAGCATAACTGGTAGGTCTTCTGAGTGAGCTGAATTCATGATGGTGCTGAGGGGACCAGGGGCTCTATGGAGTTTGTGCTGAAAAAGACAGTCATGATTTATTTCTTTGTTTAAAGACTAAAAAAAGACCAGTGATTGAACGGTGAAGTCATCTGTCCTCTCACTTGTACCTGGTCATACTATTTCTATCAGGGAAAGAGTTGGAAAAATAATTGAGTGGGGTTCTTTAAAAGCCTGTTTCAAAAGGCCCCTGCACCAAGTGAGAGGGTGAAGTGGGTGCTCCTGACCCCAGGGCTTACCATACCACTACCTCTGCAGGAAGATGTCATTATGTCCCGTCAGAAGCATGTAGGGGGGACGGTCTGAGGATCCCTTTGCTGGTTTTACTTATTCTGTGTTTGTGGGATGAAGAGGAAGTATTGGCCTCCAGGTCTGCCCATCTAGCACATTTCATCGACACCAAATTCATCTTAAAAAGCAAAAGAAAACAAAACAAAAGCTTGCATGCCCGAGAGGTCTGACCAACAGACCAGTGATTTTCCAGAACCACCTTCAGTTATCTCAGATTTCAGTCTAGCCAGCAGTGGCTGCTATGGACTGCTTTGTTAGTGTGAAGCCTGTTATGTTCACCTGCATTTTCCTCTTTCTTCCCAGCTCTTCTCAGCCCAAGACAACTGAAACAGATGTTCCCACCCAATTTGACATATTCACTACCATTAGTTTTGACTGTAAATCTTGTAGAGAGGTTCTGGCATTAATATCTCAATAGAGTTTTGTTATTGCCATCATCAAAAGACATATGCAAAAAAACTAAGTGATGTGGTGTAGCTGAAGGCTTGACGTTGGCTACCACAAAGTATTGACAAAGAAAAGCTTAAAGGTTTACAGTTTTAGAAGACTCCAAATATCCCAGCTGGTGCTTGAGAGAGTGGCCTGGGTTCTGCTTGTCTGTCCCATCTCCTTTCTGGTCAACATTTTTTCCTTCTCCATCCTCTTGCTTATTGTGTCATGTCTGCACGTGGTAGTGACCACACCAAGGATTTCTGGTGCACAAACCTGTGAAGACCTTGTGACATGTCAGTTTGGTGGTAAGATGAATTGCATTCTGGTGTGTGTTGGTCCCTTCATGGCACAGTGAGACACTAGCTGTTGCTCCTGAGGTGATATACATAAGGATAATAATAATTTATAAAAATTACATCATTTAACTAGAACTTAGCTGTCAAATCTGTGAGTTTTCTAAACTGCCAAACGGACAGAGCTGGGCTATTTCTTGGTAGTGTTGCCATGGTTTAGTGTCCTGAAGTGCTATTTCAATTGAATTGTGGGGGATGAGGAATCAACCAGCCAACTCACAAAAACAATGGAACAGTTTTGCTTGCTTGTGGAGGAGCTTAAACATTTAAAGAAAATCACTATTTTTTCTTTATTTTTCTTAAATCTTCATTAGGTTGATGTTTTAAATACATTTCCTTTAAAATAATATAATAATTTTTATGCTTTGTTGGTACAAGTGGATATAGAGTACAGCATCTGCTTTTATGAACATTCATGTTATGAAGTATTATACTGCAGTAATTTTAAAATGGGTATTTATCTGAAATTTTGATTTATAATGACTTTTAGATAAAATCTAGATATTTTTTCCTTTTTGAATTACATTTTCAAAATGCATCGGCTTTTATATTTCTTCTTTATTGAAAAAACTGAATAGTCTCTTTTCCACACTGAAATTAAAACAGATACTGAAAACCTGGCTATCTCATGCACAGTAAATTCCATGTTTTGGTCAGGTTGGTAGCTGTCCTTTACAGCTTACCAACTTTTCAGTCCCTCTAAAGGGAATTTTCTTGCTAAGTTTATATTGATGGGGTAATGAAGACAGGGGAAAGGGGATTGAGATTGGTTTGGTTTTAGAGTTGCTCTCCATCACGGAACATGCTTGCTGGCTGTGCCTGATGCTAAGGAGAGCCCCTGAGCCAGCTGGTCTCAGGCAGCTGCAGCAAACTGCCTGGCTTCTGGGTGAGCTTTGTCGTCAGTGGCAAGACAAAGCCTGGAGGTATAGAACAGATTTAAGGAGCGCTTAAACACTGATTTTTGGGGCGATATGTCAAACACTGTTTTGTAGGGTTCTAAGTCATCTAGATCTCTCTTAACTTGTTTCACTCTCTTCTTAAAATATTTATTTCTCCAGCAAGGAAAACTCCCTCAGACAGGACAAAATGATCTATTAGGCTGACAGTGTTTGTGTGACACTAATGATGGATGCAAATTTCACATGTGCAGCACGAGTCTGCACTTTCTGTTGTTCTTTATCTTTTGTGGCTCAAAGCCTGACTGACTCCGTAGGTCTGTTGCACACTGGATTTATTGTCAGACCATCAACACTTTATATAACCCCCAAATATACCTGAGTGTTGCTGAATGTTCAAAATACTCACTCTTAAACGAGGTTTGTGGTAGGTATGTGGCATTACTCCAAGTGCTTTGCTCAGATATTGGTCATGGTTAGAGAAGCTCCCAAAGACTTCTGAGTGGGAAGGGCTTGGGAGAGAGCATCATTCACCTGTAGCAGCACCTGTCTTCTCTCATGGGGCTCTGAGACACCTTGTCTGGGTCTTACAAGAAAGGATTTTTCAGTTAAAACAGTTTTTCATTGTGGCTTGAGCTTTGTTTTGCAATAATGTCATAGCTTTAAGGAACCCAGTGGGAGAATTTGTTTTGCCAAGATGAATTTTCTGCTCAGAATCAAAGTCTGGGCAAAAATAACAACCCACCAACAACCACATCTGACTCAGTGAACGTTTGGGAGCCCACTACCACAGAGTCCCCTGGCCAGCTAGCTCTTTTACAAGAGGTTTAGTATTTCTCTGTTGTTAAAATCATGAAAAATTACTGGGACATGACAAGTTTCAGTCCACAGGTGAGTGTAGTTTTCTCCTTGAGACTTTATACAAAGCTAGCGCAAGTGGCAAAGGCACAGCCACTCTCACAGCCAGCACAGGCTTGGGGGATGTCTTGGGCAGACCCGTGTGTCCTCTGTTCCTGTGCAGGTGTGAGACCAGTTCTCAATATCTGAAGAAATATTTGTGTCAGAAATCTTTAAAATTACTTCTTTCTCTTTATTGAATGATTTCTGGGCTTTGTGCCAGCATTTCCTCCCATCGCTTTTGAAAGTAAATAAATAATTTACTAGCTTGTGCACTCCTGTTTCTCTAAATCCACTTAAATGCTCCTAATAAACTGCCTTTTGCCCATAAGAGTTTCAAGAAGCCTCAATATTTTAGACAACAATTGCACATCACCAGGAAGGTAAGTAAGAGCAATGCCTGGGGAAAGCATTGAGAACAGCCGATGAGCAGCAGGGCTCTCTCTGCATCTCTGCTCTCTTTTTTAATTTAGCTTAGTATTCAGTCTAAATCCTGGAAAATTCCTGACTTTTCCTGCACATTTTTCATGGCTGTTCACTGTAGACTGTTTTGCAAACCACAGCTCTGCTGGGGAAGGAGAGCCTTCCCTTTCAGTGGGGAGTTTTCTAGATGTGTGTTATCGCTGGGAGCTGGTATTGCTGATGCCTGTTGTTTTCCGTTGTTAAACTAACTGCAGTGCATGACCATCGTGTATCACCCAGTGATGCCTAATTTAGGAGACCAGTGATTAATTCCTTCTATCGCTATTTTTTTCTCTCTCTCTCTCTCACTGCAGGATGTTTTCACACCGGAGTGCAAATTTAAGGAATCTGTCTTTGAAAACTACTACGTTATTTATTCTTCCACGCTGTACCGGCAGCAAGAATCCGGACGAGCGTGGTTCCTGGGACTCAATAAAGAAGGTCAAATAATGAAGGGAAACCGAGTGAAAAAAACTAAACCCTCATCACATTTTGTACCCAAACCCATTGAAGGTATGGAATCTGCCCACTCCCTCCATCAGTGGGGCATGGGGAAGGGGAAGTTTGCGACTTCAGATCTGGGGCTTCCTGGATGGGGGTGTTGGCTGCAAGAGCAGGAAGCAAGGACATTGTAACATCTCAGAAAGGTCATGGGCTGCACCCTTACATTTCATATGCTTTCTTTCCCATATAATAAACTTTGCACAGCATCCCAAAGGGGTTTCTCAGTTTTGGGATGCTAAAGAATGAATTTAAAAGCCTAGCAACTTGAGAAGTTACTGGGAAACAAAAGCGGCCCTGGAGCAGCTAGCAGTTCAAAGGGAATCTGATCCAGCAGTAACCATAATGTGGGTTCTCTGAGAGAATTTTCTCAATGTCAGTCAGTGGGTTTCCAGTCGCACGCAGAGTCAGTAGAGATAGGATTTAGACTTTAATGCTCTGCTTATGGTAACAGAAGAAAAATGGGTTCTACCAGCACAGCTGTGGATGTGCTTTGTATGTTTACCCTAAGATGACTTAAATCTTTTTTTTCTCATGTGCAAAGACATCCTAGTTAGTTACTGGGGCAGTGGAGAAATATTATCACAGATGTCCAAAGTTAGATGAGATGCTGTCATGATGTATGTCTTCATCAGCATGTAAGGCTTCCATAAAATCATAGAATCATAGAATAGTTAGGGTTGGAAAGGACCTAAAGATCATCTAGTTCCAACCCCCCCTGACATGAACAGGGACACCTTGCACTAAACTATGTCGCCCAAGGCTCTTGTCCAACCTGGCCTTGAACACCTCCAGGGTTGGAGCATTCACAACTTCCTTGGGCAACCTATTCCAGTGCCTCACCAAGAAGTCATAGTGTCGAAGTTTTGCCCTCATGCTGCTTGACTGTACACTACTGAAATATGCCACAGGCTTGTGCCATGGCATTTTGCTTTTTATGGGCTAAAACATGGAGAGATGTAGTGTGATGAGCCTAGTACTTAACAAGTACTAACTTGATTTTGGAAACAAGGAGACCTCTTTTTTCTGTTGCTTGGAAAAAGTGCTACTTTCTGATACCCAAAATAGGTATGCCATCTCAGTCCTGCCATGGCCACCTCAGGGGCACAGCAGGCTGGGGCTGGCCTCCGCTGCACAGCTCTACGTCCCCTCTCATTAAGCCCATGGTGGTTGTGGAGTCAGGGCTGGACACGTGGAGAGAAGGAGTGAACTAATGCTTTCCTGACAGGTACCACTCACAAGATTTGGAAGCCACAGGTAAATCCATCCACCAGCAGCTGTTTTAACAGCTTCCCAGCTAAGGTGCAGGGTCAGATGAGTGTGAGTGTGTGAATGAAAAGCCAGTTCAGGAAGGCAGGCTGGAATCATCTGTTAGACCACTGAAGCAAAACACAATGAGAGAAGTTCAGCTCAGCATTCCCAGAGTGTCTTCGGCCTTTACAGAGGACATGGAGATGCTGGAAGAGCAGAGAATGGTCTGCGGCTGCTTGTCCTCTGCTTGTTTTCAACAGCTTTTCTGCAGCTGGGAGACTTTTCTTGTTTATTTATTTGAGGCATTTGTGGACTTGATGCCCTAAACCCTCATTGAGTTTTGCTAAGGAATGGGGCTTGTTTCAGGCATGGGGTCATTCGCCAGCTTCTCCTCTGGCTCGTCTCCTGCCTTGGCTGGGAGGACAGTCTTTTGTAAGTGCTAGCTTTCACATCTGGGTTTCTAGCTCCTTCTGGTATTTCTTTGCTGCCTGGCTGGGTGTTGGCACCGATCAGTGGGTTTCTTTGAATCCAGGCTTCTTTTCTGTTGTAGTGTGGTGTCTGTTGAATGGCTCAATAGTTGTCTTCTGTGTGCATTAAACTAGGCCATTCCTGTGGCTCTCCTCATGGAAAACCTTGACTTACTGGAGGTGCCTGACCGACAGCAGAGTTCTCATTGCAACAAATGCCACTCTTGCTTTCATTTTTGAAAAACCCAGCCCAGCCCGAGAGCTTCCCTTTCCTGCAGTTGCATCTTCCCACGCTTGCTTCAATCACAGCTGTCACAACCTCCTGAGCGAGTGAGCGCTTTGGAAGTTGGCAGCCAAATTAAGGGCTCCTCCACTCCTTCCCTCCTCCACATGCTTTGCAGTCAGCCTCTGTGAGCGCTGCTGCATCAAAGAGCTGGCAGTCTCCCAAGCCGAGGCACGTGTCAGCTTCCCAAAGCGTTCAGCTGTCTGGGACTGTGACTCCAGACAGAGGACTCTGTTCCCAAGCCTAAGATTCATTGTAGGTAGCAGAGGCTTGTGGGGAGGGTTGGAGTAAAATGCTCTCAGTTCCATGTGACTTCTCCGTGTTGCATCCATCAAAGTCTCTGCAAGCAGATCTTGCAAGCAGAGATGTTACAGAAAAAGGGAATTTCCTACCCTGTTTTAACAGCTTCTTTCTCTTTGTCATGACTCTAAAGTATTCAAAGCACTCCCCGCTATATTTGCATGTTCCTTCTGCTAAATCCTGTGGCATGCTCCAGCACATGGGCTTTGCCGCTTATTCAGGCCGACACTTTGCAGCTTCTGTCTTCAGTAATGCGCCCAGGCTTCCTTTTGCTCTGTACCACCCCCAGCAGTAGCCCTGCCACATGACGGCTGACACAGTAATCTATGCAAGGAGGAATCTGGTCCCCTGGGAAGGAGAGGTGTGACATTGCTAGGAATCACTTCACCCACCACTTCAATAGCAATTATCTCTGAGATGATACTTCCCAGTTGTTTGCCATGTGCAGAAAAATCATGCAGCAGCTCAGTTAAGAGAGCATTTGCAGGGAAAGAAAACACAAAACAGCCGAGATTGCTCCTGAAGCTCATTTGGCTCTCTTTGCTTCATACTGCTTTCTGAATTCAGAAGTCCTCTCCTCGAAGTTACAGATAGGCAGTAAACTAATGAAAAATATGAAATATCTTCCCGTATAATTTCTAAGGACTACATATATTTACATGTGCATATATACAATGGTATGTATGTATGTATGTGTGCTACCTGTGGCTTTTAGCAGCTACAAAGCAGCTACAGCTTTATGCAGTGTTAAACCCACAGACCGTTTCGACTGCTGTAGCTTGTCAGGATGCTGCATGTGTTCTGTGCAAAAGTTGCTAGCTACCAACTGGAAAAGTTTTGGGGTTTGGTTGGTAGGAGGGATTTTTGGTTTAGTTTACATAGGATTTGTTTGTTTTTGGAAATAGCATTAAGCTTAATCAATATGAAAGCAAAAAACTTGATAAGTAATAACAGGGGAAACGTTAAGTTCCTTTCCCATCTGTGCACAGGCAAATCCAAGACAAACAGCCTGGCAGGCAGCAGTTAATGTACTGTGTGGTGCCAGTTTTGGTTAAAAACACATATACGCAACGCATTTCTTTTGATATTTTTATTTCTGATCATTTGAGCTAAATGAGCCCTTAAAGTGCAGACATATAGGTTGAACCAGACTGCACAAGAAATTAACTTGAATATAGTTGTCACTTGGAGACCAAGCAATCTTTTAAACCTATTTCAGTCTCTTTAAGTGCCTGTAGTGATTAGTGCTGGATGAACACTATGGTCCACAGTGCTTCTTGTTCTTTTAAATATGTAAACCCATCTCAAATGATGGGAAACTTTCCAGTCACTTAGGTGATAATTTTATCAGACGCTAATTGTGGATGTGCTCTGTCATTTATATTTCCTTACATTTGAAGACATCATTTCCAGATAGCTCTCCCAAAGGAGCTACATTTCATCTCTCACCTGACCCAGGCCAGGATGCTTTTGAAGTGGCACATCTGGCCACAGAAAGCAGAAGACATTTCCTCCATCTGAGTCAGCACAGCTGCTCCTACCTCCAAACTCATGGTGCTTCAGCCCTCATGATGTGAACATATCTCAGTTAGGAAGGTCACCTGTCAATGACTAGTCTGATCCATTTATTACCACTGATGAATACCCTTGTGCAAGGAACAGCAGCCAGATTTTTCCCAGTGTGTGTTTCCAGGGATGCAACATGCCAGTTTTGTTAAAGCAGACTCATCAGATGTTGCAAAGAAGTATGAGACACTATTGAGTAGGAAGATGCGGTAGGCCTAGTGAGAATGCTTCAAAGGTATCACCTTAATTAACAAAGCATCCTAAAAAGCGTTCTTTAAAAAAACCCCAACAAAACTCCACACTCTTTATCAGTCTTTGTTAACACAGTGTCGTGGTTTAAGCCCAGCTGGTAACTCAGAACCACGCAGCCTCTAGCTCACTCCCCACCTTCTTCCTTCCCCACCTCCTGGAGGGATGGTGAGAAGAATCGAAAGAATGTAACTCCCATGGGTTGAGATAACAACAGTCCAGTAACTAAGGTACCATACAAAACCCATTGCTACTACCACTAATAATACTAATGATAAGGGAAATAATGAGGGGAGAGAATACAATTGCTTACCACCTGCCGATCAATAAGCAGCCCAATCTGGGCCTTCCGAGTAACTCCCCCCAGTTTATATACTGGGCATGACGTGCTGTGGTATGGAATACCCCTTTGGCCAGTTCGGGTCAGGTGTCCTGTCTCTGTTTCCTCCCGGCTTCCCCTCCTCCCTGGCAGAGCACGAGACTGAGAAAGTCCTTGGTCGGAGTAAACGTTACTGAGCAACAACTAAAAACATCGGTGTTATCAGCGTTGTTCCCAGGCTGAAAGTCAAAAATACAGCACTGCACCAGCTGCTAAGAAGGAGAAAAATGACTACTATAGCTGAACCCAGGACACACAGCTCCTCTTTTGGGTTCGTTTTTTAAGATGCATCCAAAAGAGGTCAAGGGGGCAGGCTTTGGTATGTTTTCTATCTCACACTCACTTGTTCATCTATCAAACTCATAATAATCTTATTAGATGGCAAATGCAATGTATTTTAACCATGCTTTTGCTTGGCTTTTTGTCATCCTGTGCTTTGTCTGTGCTGTGTTTCTTATCTGAACAAACTGTGATTCCATCTGGCAGCATCCTGAACATTTAGCCACCAGATAGAGAC